CTCAGGCAATCCACTCACCTCAGCCTCCCAAGGCGCGGGATTACAGGTTGAGCCACCAAGCCTGGCTTGTTGTTGTTGCTGTTGTTGTTTTTGAGTTGGAGTCTCACTGTCCCCCAGACTGGAGTGCAGTGGCCGCTCCCGGCCACCGCAGCCTTAACCTGCTGGCCTCTGGCGATCCTTCCGCCTCAGCCTTCCAAGTAGCTGGAACTACAGGTGCACGCTACCACGCCCGGCTGATTTTTTGATTTATTGTAGAGATGAGGTCTCGCCTGCCCAGGCGGGTCTCAAACCCGCAGGCTCAGGCAATCCACTCATTTCAGCCTCCCAAAGGTGCAGGATTACAGGCTGAGCCACCAAGCCCGGCTTGTTTTTTTTTTTTTTTTTGAGTTGGAGTCTCACTCTGTCGCCCAGACTGGCCACTGCAGCCTCAACCTGCTGGGCTCCGGCGATCCTTCCGCCTCAGCCTTCCAAGTAGCCGGAACTACAGGCGTGCGCTCCCATGCCCGGCTGATTTTTTGATTTGTTGTAGAGATGAGGTCTCGCCAAGTTGCCCGGGCGGGTCTTGAACCCTTGGGCTCAGGCAGTCCACTCACATCAGCCTCCCAAGGTGCGGGTTTACAGGCTAAGCCACCGAGCCCGGCCTGTTGTTTTTTGTTTGTTTTGAGTCAGAGACTCACTCTGTCACCCAGGTTGGAGTGCAGTGGCACGCTCATGGTCGTCACAGCTGGGCTCAGGTGATCCTTCTGCCTCAGCCTCCCAAGTAGCTAGAACCACAGGTGCATGCCACCATACCCAGCTAATTTGATTTATTGTAGAGACAAGGTCTCACCAAGTTGTCCAGGCTGATCTCTAACCCCTAGGCTCAGACAATCCTCTCATCTCCCAAAGTGCTGGGATTACAGGCATGAGCCACCATGCCCAGCACAACCTTGTTTTTAAAACTATTATTATTATTATTATTTTAGTTGGAGTCTCACTCTGTCACCCAGATTGGTGTGCAGTGGCCACTCCCGGCCACCGCAGCCTCTATCTGCTGGGCTCTGGCAATCCTTCCGCCTCAGTCTTCCAAGTAGCTGGAACTACTGGCATGTGCTACCACACCCGGCTCATTTTGATTTATTATAGAGATGAGGTCTCACCAAGTTGCCCAGGCGGGTCTCGAACAGGCAATCCACTCACCCCAGCCTCCCAAAGGCGCAGGATTACAGGCTGAGCCACCGAGCCTGGCTTATTACTATTGTTTTTTAGTGAGAGGATCTTGCTCTGTTACCCAGGCTGGAGTGCTGTGGCTATTCATAGGTGCAATCATAACTCACTACAGCCTGAAACTCCTGGGCTCGAGCCATTCTCCTGCTTCAACCTCCTAAGTAGCTGGGACTACACACAACGGCCACAGAGAATTCTGGTCCATGGACATAACATGATGTATACAACCCATGCTTTGCTGATGGATGTTAGGCTGTTTCCAGTTTTTCACCCTCATAAATAATGACCTCTTTGATCATTACAGATTTTTGAAAACATGAAATCTGAATTCAGCATTTGCAGGCTATTTGAAGACCAGTGGAATAAAAGGGGCTAGAGAAGCTTTATTTGATGGTGGAAGGAAGCCAGGTCCTCTGGGCAAGACCTAGTTCCTGCAAAATAGCCAGAGGGTGGGGCTGCTTCAGGAAAAACCAAAGAGGGATCATGAGATTCTTTTTTTTTTTTTGAGTTGGAGTCTCACTGTCGCCCAGACTGGAGTGCAGTGGCCGCTCCCGGCCACCGCAGCCTCGACCTGCTGAGCTCCCGCGATCCTTCCGCCTCAGCCTTCCAAGTAGCCAGAATTACAGGCATCACTACCACGCCCGGCTGATTTTTTGATTTCTTGTAGAGATGAGGTCTCGCTGCCCAGGCGGGTCTCGAACCCGCGGGCTCAGGCCATCCACTCACCTCAGCCTCCCAAAAGCGTGGGATTACAGGCTGAGCCACCGAGCCCGGCGATCATGAGATTCTTAAACTGTTTGCTGTCAGGGACCCCTTGTATTAATATAACTTGTGGGAATTTATAGCCCTTTGAAGGATGCTTATCACCTGTAAGTCTCAACGGCCCTGGACCCTGATTTCCTTTGATAAACAACTCCCCTCCCTGGCCCCACCACTGGATGTATCCTTAGCAGGATTATCAGTCCAGATGCTCCCTCCCTCCCCAGTCAAATGATGGGCCTAGAACCTAAATCAAGATAATGAGATGCAGTTCCTTACCTTGGCTAAAGCGATGGGGAGAAAGGTTCTTTTTCCCTGCTGTGTTACCTAGCTATAGAGATGTAAGTCTGGTGTTGCCAGAGAAATTATGTCTGAGAACAAAGCAGATTTCCGGGAAAGGTAGAGTGAACCCCTGGATTCAGACATGCCCGAAACCAGCCCTGTTGACTCAGTTACATGAACCAATAAATTCCATTTTATGCTTTAGTCAGTGCCAGTTGAGTTTCTGTCATTTCCGTTGGAAAAGTTTTTGTTTTTGTTTTGTTTTTTGAGTCAGGGTCACCTGGCTCTGTCACCTGGGCTGGAGTGCAGTGGCATGATTGCAAAAATCATGGCTCACAGCAGCCTCAACCTCCTGGGATCAGGTGATCCTTCCACCTTAGCATCCTGAGTCACTGGGACTACAGGCATGTGCCACCACACCCGGCTAATTGTTATTATTATTTTATAGAGACGAGGTTTTGCTATGTTACCCAGGCTGGTCTTGAACTCCTGGTCTTCAGCCTCCTGAGTAGCTGGGACTACAGGCACACAACAGCCATATAGAATTGTAGTCCAAGGACATAATATGATTTATACCAATTATTCTGCCTGAAATTTATACAATCTACCCTGCCTGCTGGGATTACAGGTGTGAGCCACTGCACCCAGATGGAAGAGGTTTTTTTTATTGTTATTATAAAGATGTGGGGTACAATTCAGGGTTAGGTATACAAATGTTGATTATGCAGGTACCCTTGTTGATGAGGTATGCCCCTCCTTCTCCTAGCAGTTTCCCTCAACTGCCCATCCCACCCTCCCTCCCCTGACAGTTTCCCACTGCTGCCAATTGCTTGGAAGAGGGTTTTTTTTTTTAATTTTGTTTTCATTTTTTTAGATTAGAAAATATAGTTTATTGGCCAGGTGTGGTGGCTCATGCCTATAATGCCAGCACTTTGGGAGGCCGAGATGAGAGGATTGCCTGAGCTCATGAGATCAAGACAGCCTGGGCAACTTGGCGAGACCCCATCTCTATAATAAACCAAAAAATTAGCCGGGCATGGTGGCACATGCCTGTAGTTCCAGCTACTTGGAAGGCTGAGGCAGAAGGATCGCCTGAGCCCAGCAGGTCGAGAATGCGGTGACTGTGAGCATGCCACTGCACTCCAGCCTGGGAGACAGAGTGAGACTCCAACTCAAAAAAAAAAGGAAAAAAGAAAATACAGTTTATTTAGAAAGTAAATGAGAGAGAGAGATTGATTCACTTCCCCAAGGTAGGAGAGGGGGTCAAAGCTTAGGAAACATGGCAGGACCCTTAGCTCAGAGAACACATGGCCACACCAGAGTCTAGTAAAGCAATGGCCTGTTTATTTGTTTACAGAGTTTTGCTCTGTCTCCCAGGCTGGAGTGCAGTGGTGTGATCATAGTTCACAGCAATCTGGAACTTCTGCCTTAGCCTTCTTAAGTAGCTGGACTACAGGTATGCATCACCACTCCTGGCTAATTTAATTAAATTTATGTATTTATTTATTCATTTTTGAGTTGGAATCTCATTCTGTAGCCCAGGCTGGAATGCAATGACATGCCACGGCCACCACAGCCTCAACCTGCTGGACTCAGGTCATCCTTCTGCCTCAGCCTTCTAAGTAGCTGAAACCACATGCCTGACTGATTTTTATTGTAAAGATGAGGGCTCGCCAAGTTGCTCAGGCTGGTCTCGAACCTCTGAGCTCAGGTAATCCTCTCTTTTTTTTTTTTGAGTTGGAGTCTCACTCTGTTGCCCAGACTGGAGTGCAGTGGCCGCTCCTGGCCACCGCAGCCTTGACCTGCTGGGCTCTGGCTATCCTTCCACCTCAGCTTTCCAAGTAGCCAGAATTACAGGTGCGCGCTACCACGCCCGGCTGATTTTTTTATTTATTGTAGAGATGAGGTCTCGCTGCCCAGGCGGGTCTCGAACCCGCGGGCTCAGGCAATCCACTCACCTCAGCCTCCCAAAGGCACGGGATTACAGACTGAGCCACCGAGCCCGGTTTAGGTAATCCTCTTGCCTTCGCCTCCCAAAGTGCTGGGATTACAGGTGGCTTTATTTTTTATTTTTTGTAGAGATGAGGGTCTCACTATGTTTCCCAGGCTGGTCTCAAACTCTTCTGGCTTCAAGTGATCCTCCTGCCTCAACTTCCTAAAGCACTAGGATTATAGGTGCGAGCCACTGTGCCTGGCCCATTGTAAGTGCTCTTTCTCATTCACCCTTGGCCCAGAAGAAAACAAATTCATTCACTCATTCATTTAATCAGTATTTATTGACTATCTGGTCCATGCTCATTTTTTCTGCTGGGCGATGGTAGGGACAGTAAAGTGACCATGATAGAACTGGTTCCTCCTCTGAGGGCCATCCCAGGCTACAGATTAAAGACAATCACAAAGTGTTCAGCAATAATGGCAACATCTGCCATGAAGGAGCTCAGGGAGCTACAAGAGAGGTATCTGTGAACGGGCTGATGGAATCAGGGGAGGGTCTCCCGAGGACAGGACTTTGAAGTTGACACCCGAAAGATGGTCCGGGAACTAGCCAAGGGAAGGGAGATCAAGGACTAGGGATCCACGCACTCAAATCCTGGGGTTTCAGGGCACTCAAGAGACTTGGTCGAGCTCAGAAACCTGGAAAAAGATCTTGGGAATGGAAGGAGGAAAGGGCGAGGGCGGTGGCAGGGAAGAAGCAAGGTGGGCTTCCAGGCCCCTGCTGGAGGAAACCGAGGTGTGTCGGGACCCTCCCTTCCTCAGAGCGTGGTGTAGAAATACATGGCCATCAGCATCACTGGGAGCTGAGTGAGGAGGCAGTGAGACGAAAGGGCGCTCCAGTCCCATGCCTCCGTCCCACCCGGCCCGTCGGGCTTCCCGCCTCTCACCGTCCACATCAGAATGGCAAATCCAAACCACGAGATGCCCCACGTGTAGCTGTCGATGGCATGGCCGATGTGCTCAAAGCAGCCCTGCAGGGGAAAGGTAGGGAGTTGAGAAGATGTCCAGCTAAAGACAAGGCCAATGTCTACCCCTGGGAGGGTCATTTTCCCCCCTGAGGTTTGTTTTTTCTCCCCTGCGCCATGAGGATCATGGCAGTGTCTACCTCCCAGAGTGGTTTTGGGGAGCCAGGGAGGTGATGCTGAACCCAGGCCCTGCACAAAGTAGGTGCTGCCCTGATGGTGGGTATGGCAGTCTGAGGGTGAGCTGGTTTAGAAACAACTTCCCATGCTGCCCATGGGTCCCACGGTTTAAAAGACACTTTGGAAGTAGTGCTTGTCTGACACTTCCTCGTCAAGAGATGAAGATGAATGGGGACCGGAGCCACAGGATGTGAAGTCAGAAGGACCAAGGCCGGGGCCAGCTCTTTTGGCCAGCTCTAGGACCTGGGCTAGAGTCATTCTGAACTCTGAGCCTCAGTCTTCCCATCTGTGAAATGCCAGCGATAGCACTGCCCTTTGACAGTGGTTGCAGGCTTTCTGGATATGAGCACTCTGCACAGTTCTGGGTTTGAAAAATGCCGTCCTGTTCTGATCATGGTTACGGTCTGCACGTGGGATCCCCTATGTGACAACTGGTCTAACACAAGCCACTGAAGGGCCCCAGGCAGCTAGAGCTGAAAGGACCACTGGGACCATTTTTCTTCTTAGTCTAACCTCCTCCTGGTTTCTTGCTCTGTCTCTGTACTTGTTTCGCAGTGGTTCAAGCACCTCGTTGGGGCCTGCCTGCCTGCAATCAAATCCCAGCTCCATCCCTAGCTAGCGAGTGGCCTCTCAGTTTTATCATCCATAAAATGGGGTGGTTATAGAGTTTACCTCATAAGGTGATAGTGAGGATTAAATAAGATAAAAACTTACAGCACTTAGAAGAATGCCTGGTACGAAGTAAAGGCTTAATAAATGTTGGTTGGTATGGGTGTTGGGCTACGGTTATCATTCTTGTTGCTCTTACTCCCAGGCAAACAGAAAAGTTGCAAGGCCAGATCTGTATCAGACAGACCCTGTGTATATCCTGCTGACTTGCAGAGAGAGTTGGGAGAGCCAGAGAGAGGGGAGGGGGAGAGAAAACCACAGAGGGGAGGAGGAGATGAAAGAAGATGGATGGACAGACAGATGGTAGAAGGGAGAAAGAGATGGAATCAGAGATGGAGTGAGAGGGAGCAGAGACCAGAGAAAGACCGAGAGAGGCACAGACAGGAGCAGGGACAGGACACACCTTGGTGAACAGGTAGTCTGTGTGGCCCAGGCGGCAGCCCTCTTCGTTGAGTGGAATGAAGTTTCCTGTCCGGCGACAGCACAGTGGGGGCCAGGGGAACACCACCTCCGGAGTAGTTGCTCGGAAGGCTGATGTGAAGTTTACCCAGTCCATGGGACCAGATGTGCCACAGCATCCTTGCTGGAAAGAAAGGTAGGGGTCAGGCAGGCAAAGATTTAGAGAGGCAGCCTCTTGTTTGAGGTCGCAAGGTGCCTTGAGGCAGGGCTGGCCTCCGATACAGCTGGGCCCAACTTCTCCATGACCTGGGCCTCAAATTGGGGGGCGTGGTGGTGTCTCTCTGTGTCAGCAATGATCTGACAATATTTGTCTCAGAACCAGAAAAGAAAGTTAAGTGGGAATCTGGGTCAAACCCACCCTCATCATTTATTTGTAAATGTTTTTGTCAACAGCTATGCTGACACATGATACAAAAAGGTAGATTTCTGACTTTTCCGGGACCTGGTGGGTGTTTAATTTGTGGCTCCTGAATGATGGAAACACAGGCTTGGACATCCTTCAAATACGGGTTCAAATTCTGCCAGTTGTATGACTTGTGATAAGTTGGGACTCCAATTTTCCCTGAGTCCTCAATTTCTTCCTCTTCTGATGCAATATCAAGTTGAATTTAATTAGGAGCGTGGCTTCTGGAACCTGGCATCCTGGGTTCTGCAACCTACCAGCTGTGGGACATCATGCAAGTCATTCAGTCTCTTGCCTTGGTTTCCCTATCAATAAAGAGCCGATCCCCTTATGGAGTGGTTGTGAGGATTAAAGAAGCTTTAGAAGTGAGGCTCACACCTATAATCCCGGCACTTTGGAAGGTCAAGGGGAGAGGATTGCCTGTGTCCATGGGTTCGAGATCAGCCTGGGCAACTTGGCGAGACCTCATCTCTACAATAAATCAAAAATTAGCTGGGCGTGGTGGTGCACGCCTGTAGTTCCAGCTACTTGGAAGGCTGAGGCGGAAGGATCGCTGGAGCCCAGCAGGTCGAGGCTGCGGGGGCCGGGAGCGGCCACTGCATTCCAGTCTGGGCGACCGAGTGAGACTCCGACTCAAAAAAAAAATTTTAAGTTATAAAAAAAGAAGTGCTTTGAACACTAAACAAAAGTCAGTGCCCAATAAATGGTGCTATTACTATTATCATTATTATTATTACCATTACTACTATTGCGGCTGCATGTAGTGGTTAAGAGCAGGCTCTGGAGCTAGGCTGTCAGGTTCAAATCCCAGTTACCAACTATATGACCTTGAACAAGTGACTTGCCCTTTCTGGACGTATTTAGTCATCTGGAAAATGGTGATGACCACAGCCCTGTCCTCACAGGGATCCCATGAGTGGATGTCTTCATTTATTTATTTGTTTGTTTGTTTGTTTTTTTGAGTTGGAGTCTCACTCTGTTGCCCGGACCGGAGTGCAGTGGCCGCTCCGGGCCACCGCAGCCTCGCCTTGCTGGGCTCCGGCGATCCTTCCGCCTCAGCCTTCCGAGTAGCCGGAACTACAGGCATGCGCTACCACCCCTGGCTGAGTTTTTGATTTATTGTAGAGATGAGGTCTCACTGCCCAGGCGGGTCTCGAACCCGCGGGCTCAGGCAATTCACTCACCTCAGCCTCCCAAAGGCGCGGGATTACAGGCTGAGCCACCGAGCCTAGCAAGTGGATGTCTTTAAAGCACTCAGTTGTCTACAAGTGTGCATAAGAGGGTGGAACCCTCTCAATCTCTGTGGACTGAGCCCCTACCCACCCTTGCCCACCTCCATCATGATGCGATCCCAAAGGCGGGTCAGTTCCTGGCCCTGGTCCGTGTCTGCACTGTAGAAGGTCAGCATCTGCTTGGTGATCAGGGATGGGTTGGACACCATCTGTGGAGAACAGGGTCCAGCAGGACTGGGTGGGGAGAGAGGCCCAGCTCCACCCCCGACCCCCGCCACTGCCAGAGACCCTCAACACTCTGCATTACGCCCCACAAGTCAGGTCCCTCCCCTGGCTTCTGCCCGGCTCACGTAGTCTCGGTGGGTGTAGGAGGTGATGCAGGAGGCACACTCAAAGATGTAGATGATGAGCATGAGGACCAGGTACTGGGGAAACAGAGAGGGACAGCCGTGTCAGGGCAAAGCCTGTGAGGTCTCACCCCCGCGAGGGATGAACTGATGGTTAGAAATACAATTTTTTTTTTTTTTGAAAAGGATATTTTAAAAATCCAAACCTTAAAGCTGGCAAATTTTCATTGAGCTGAGAATAGACAACCTAGTAAGTCTACATTTCCACAAGCTACACATAAACCCACAAAGCATCAAAGCACAGTCCATCTCTTTCTCTTTCATATATCACCATCCGACTGTTGTGAAAAATTTCAGCAATCCTTTTACCATCAATGAACTGGTTGTATCATGAGAATTAAGCTATGGTACATTTTTCTCTGAATTCGGTTGCAGTGGAAGACAGAACAAACATTTACTTAAAGCCATAATATTTCACGGTAATCCAACCTTAAGCCAAATTGTAAAGAAGGGGTAGCAGAGCCCTGTTTGGACTCCGGATTAGGAGAGGCAGTCCCAGTGTGCTGAGATGAACAGGACGTGTCACAATCAAAGTCATCGG